ACTGTCCTGGAAAGCAGTAATTGCAAGAAGGATTTAGGGGTCATTATAAATATGAGCTCCCAGTGCAATAGTATGGCTAAAAGAGCTAATGCAATCCTTAGGTATATAAACAAGGGAATATTGACAAGGAATATGGAGGTGGTATTACCTCTGCATACAGTACTGGTGAGACCATTACTGTATACTGTGTCTTCTTCTGGTGCCCACACTTTACATAGGATGTTGACAAATTGGAAAGGGTTAGAGCAGAGCTACAAGAATTATTCAAGGTCTGGAAAATACTCCTTACACTCAAAGACTCAAAAGAGCTCCGTCTATTTAATTTATCAAAGAGAAGATGATTATGTGATTTAATTACAGTCTAGCGAGGGCTTATACAAAGAGAAGACATCTGATGCAATACTACTACTGCAGAGAAGGATTTGGAAGAGCCTGCTGAGGGAAGGGATCAGAAGGAGACCCCATCGGCAGGAAGACACGGGCTGCATTGTCCTAGGGACGGGGGTTCCATGACCACTACTCCCAAGAAGAGGAGAATGGTGGTGGTGGTCTGGGACTCCCTCCTAAGGGGGACAGAGTCATCCATCTGCCGACCAGACCAGGAGAATCAAAATATGCTGCTTGCCTGGAGCTAGAATCCAGGATGTGACAGAGTGTTTCCGAGACTGATCAAGCACTCAGACCATTACCCCTTCCTACTTCTCCCCGTGGGCACCAATGATACTGCCAAGAACGACCTTGACCAGATCACTGCATGGCTCTGGGAAGAAGGATAAAGAAGTTTGAGGGGCAAGTGGTGTTCTCGTCCATCCTCCCTGTTGAAGGAAAAAGCCCAGGTAGGGACCGTCGAATTGTGGAGGTGAATGCGTGGTTACGCAGGTTGTGTCGGAGAAAGGGCTTTGGATTTTCCACCATGGAATGTTGTTCCGGGAAGAGGGATAGCTAGGAAGAGATGGGATTCACCTAGTGAAGAGAGGGAAGAGCATCTTTGCAGGCAGGCTTCCTAACCTAGTGAGGAGGGCTTTAAACTACGTTCGCTGGGGATGTTGATCTAACCCAGAGGTAAGTGGGGACGGGGGATACTGGGAGGAAACACAAGGAGGAGCGTACAAGATGGGAAGCCTCCTAATTCATAGTGAGAAAGTAGAGCAATCGGCTAGTTTTCTTAGGTGCATGTACATAAACGCAAGAAGCCTAGGAAACAAGCAGGAAGAATTGGAAGTCCTGGCACAATGAAGGAACTATGATGTGATTGGAATAACAGAAACTTGGTGGGGCAGTTCACATGATTGGAGCACTGTCATGAATGGGTATAAACTGTTCAAGAAGGACAGGTATGGGAGGAAAGGTGGAGGAGTTGCACTGTATGTAAGGGAGCAGTAGGATTGCTCAGAACTCCAGTTTGAAACTGAAGAAAAGCCTGTTGTGAGTCTTTGGGTTAAGTTTAGAGGTGAGAGCAACAAGGGTGATGTCATGGTGGGCGTGTGCTATAGACCACCGGATCAGAAGGATGAGGTAGACGAGGCTTTCTTTGGACAACTAACTGAAGTCTCCAGATCACAGGCCCTGGTTCTAATGCTGGACTTCAATCACCCTGACATCTGCTGTATTTTTAAGGAGAGCTGGCTGTATTTTAAAGAAGCCTTATTGAGGGCACAGGAACAAACCATCCCAAAGTGCAGAAAGAATAGCAAATATGGCAGGTGACCAGCTTGGCACAACCGTTAAATCTTCGGTGAGCTTAAACTCAAAAGAAGCTTACAAGAAGCGGAAATTTGGACAGATGACTAGGGAGGAGTATAAAAGTATTGCTAGAACATGCAATCAGGAAAGCCAAGGCACAGTTGAAGTTGCAGCTAGCAAGAGATGTGAAGGGTAACAAGAAAGGTTTCTACAGGTATGTTAGCAACAAGAAGTTGGTCAGGGAAAGCGTTGGACCCTTACTGAATGGGGGAGGGAACCTAGTAACAGATGATGTGGAAAAAGTTGAAGTACTCAATGCTTTTTTTGCCTCAGTCTTCACAGACAAAGTCAGCTCCCAGACTGCTGCACTGGGCAACACAGCATGGGGAGGAGGTGAGCAGTCCTCAGTGGTGAAAGAACAGGTTAAGGACTATTTAGAAAAGCTGGACATGCACAACTCCATGGGTTCAGATCTAATGCATCCAAGGGTGCTGAGGGAGTTGGCTGATGTGATTGCAGAACCATTGGCCATTACCTCTGAAAATTCGTGGTGATTGGGGGAGGTCCCAGACGATTGGAAAAAGGCAAACAGTGTCCATATTTAAAAAAGAGAACCCAGGGAACTACAGACTGGTCAGCCTCACCTCAGTCATTGGAAAAATCATGGAGCAGGTCCTCAAAGAATCCATTTTGAAGCACTTGGAGAGGAAGGTGATTAGGAACAGTCAACATGGATTCACCAAGGGCAAGTCATGCCTTTGATTGCCTTCTACGATGAGATAACTGGCTCTGTGGATATGAGGAAAGCGGTGGATGTGATATATCTTGATTTTAGCAAAGCGTTTGATTCGGCCTCCCACAGTATTCTTGCCAGCAAGTTAAAAAAGTATGGATTGGATGAATGGACTCTAAGGTGGACAGAAAAAGATGACTAGATTGTCGGGCTCGGTGGGTAGCGATCAACGGCTGGAGTCTGGTTGGCAGCCGATATGAAGCGGAGTGCCCCAGGGGTCGGTTCTGGGTCCGGTTTTGTTCAACATCTTTATTAATGGTCTGGATGATGGGATTAATTGCACCCTCAGCAAGTTCACAGATTACATTAAGATGGGGGGAAAGGTAGAGATGATGGAGGGTAGGGATAGGGTCCAGCGTGACCTAGGCAAATTGGAGAATTGGGCCAAAAGAAGTCTGATGCGGTTCAGCAAGGACAAGTGCAGAGTTCTGCACTTAGGAAGGAAGAATCCCATGCACCGCTACAGGCTGGGGACCAACTGGCTAAGCAGCAGTTGAGCAGAATAGGACTAGAGATTACAATGGATGAGAAGCTGGATATGAGTCAACAGTGTGCCTTTGTTGCCAAGAAGGCCAATGGCATATTGGGCTGTATTAGTAGGAGCATTGCCAGCAGATCGAGGGACGTTATTATTCCCCTCTGTTCGGCATTGGTGAGGCCATATCTGGAGTATTGCGTCCAGTTTTGGTCCCCCCACTACAGAAGGGAGGTGGACAAATTGGAGAGAGTCCAGTGGAGGGCAAAGAAAAGGATCGGGGGCTGGGGCACATGACTTACGAGCAGAGGCTGAGGGAACTGGGCTTGTTTAGTCTGCAGAAGAGAAGAATGAGGGGGGATTTGATAGCAGCCTTCAATTACCTGAAGGGGGGTTCCAAAGAGGATGGATCTAGACTGTTCTCAGTGGTAGCAGATGACAGAACAAGGAGCAATGGTCTCAAATTGTAGTGGGGAGGTTTAGGTTGGATATTAGGAAACACTATTTCACTAGGAGGGTGGTGAAGCACTGGAATGGGTTACCTAGGGAGGTGGTGGAATCTCCATCCTTAGAGGTTTTTTAAAGCCCAACTTGACAAAGCCTTGGCTGGGATGATTTAGTTGGCGTTGGTCCTGCTTTGAGCAGGGGATTGGACTAGATCTCCTGAGATCTCTTCCAACCCTAATATTCTATGATTATGTGGTACTAGATGGTTCTTTAATCTAGCAGAGAGGGAAGGAGGAGAATCCTGGGAACTACAGGTCAGTCAGGGAGGTGGTAGAATCTCCTTCCTTAGAAGTTTTTAAGGTCAGGCTTGACAAAGCCCTGGCTGGGATGATTTAATTGGGGATCGGTCCTGCTTTGAGCAGGGGTTGGACTAGATGATCTCCTGAGGTCCCTTCCAACCCTGAGATTCTATGATTCTAGGACATAAGATCCAATGGCTGGAAGTTGAAGTCAGCAACATTCTAACTGGAAATAAAATGCACATTTGTAATAGTGACTGTAATTAACCATTGGAACAGATTAGCAATGGATGTGGTCAATTTGCCTTCATTTGAAGCCTTTAAACAAACGCTGGATCAATCTTTCTATTAAATATGCTCTAATTCAATTACAAGCCATTGCCTGAAGTTAGCAAAGTTCTAACTGAAATAAAGATGTCTATTTTAACAATGAATGAATAACCATTGGAACAAGTCATCAAGGGGTGCCGTAAATCCTCCAGTACTTCAAGTCTTTAAATCAGGATTTGCTGTCATTCTAAAAGCTATGCTGTAGCTCAGCTATAAGTTGCTGGATTAGATATGAGGAGTGTGTGAGGTTGTCTGGCCTGTGGAATGCAGGAGGACAGACTACATGATCATAGGGATCCCTTCTGGCTGTGAAATGTATGGACCCATGAATGGGATAGGACATGTGGACACATCCTCTATTCACCATCCTGTGAAACAAAAAAATCTGTTAAAATACTGTCAAGGCAACCAATGAAATGTCTGAGGACCCTTTAACTAAATGCTTTCTGATTCTTTACTTTGCAAATCTTTGATGTGATTTTCATCTTGGCATTGTCCCTTTTTATATTGATTCAGACTCACACTAACTTGAGAGCAGACAACCTCAACCTCTGGCAAGGGGGCAGAGCAGGAACTTCTACTACTGGTATGTTTATTTCTAAAGAGAGAAGTAAATAAACCCTCAGCAAACCGCATGCACTGTTCTGGGCAGAAGCAGATGTGTGTGACTCATGACCCCCTTTTCTGCTCCCTCCACACATTTGTTTGTAACACTCACTTGGGGCACCTGGAGTTAAATGAAGTGTATGCTCTTTGGGGCAGATAGATTTGAGCTGCACCCTGCACATTGAGGCTCTGAGTGCAGCCTCTTGTGTCACTGTAACAGAAACCAGCATGATCAGATGGATCATACCAGACCAACCAGAGGTGAAATTCGGCTCTACTGAAGTCAATAGGAGTTTTGCCATTGACTTCAATGAAATCTCTGTGAAATCTTTTTCAGGGAGTCACATCCCAGAGAAAAGTTCCTCACCTGGGAAGCGGAGAGAAGGAGATGACATCCCAAACATCCTTCTCCATGTCCAGTCTCTGCACGCCACCATACACATCTCCCTTTTCATCCAGGCCACAGACCACGTAAAGCCTGGTCCCCACACTGACTGCACCTGCTCTCTCCACAGGCTGAACCATGGGGCTCATGCTTTGCCACTGAGAGTCCATTAATGCCAGGCGCTCCACATCTGGGATTATCCCCTCATCTGTGCTCCCTCCAAGAGCGTACAAATACAGCCCAGCCCCTACGGCACAATGGCTGTTGCGAGACTGCTTCATAGCAGGCCCTTCCAGCCAGTTGTTGTCCCAGCAATTATAGATCAACACCCAGTCCACGCTGTACCACACAAACTCATCTCGGAAATAACCTCCTGTCACAAAAAGGAAGTTCCCTGAGGATAGAATGGAAAGAAATGTCAGGCAGAGGCATCTCTCAGCCATCCTCATGCATATCCTGCTGCCCACTTCCCCTCAAGCAATTTGCACATTTAGGCTTCCTTCCTTCAGCCTGATCTATGTGGAGTCCCTTGCACCTGAGTAAGTTCTCCTTGGAATCAATGGGACTCCAGGTAGGTATGGGGTCTGCCCGTGTATATCAGAGTGCAGGACTGGAGTCTTAATCTCTCCTTCAGCTTCTAATAAGGATGAGTCATGAACAGTTTGCTGCAAATATTTGATACTCGGTATTTGAAATTTAGCTGCACTGCCTGCATTGTGATTGGTCATGTAAGTCGGATGGCCTTGTTTCTCTTCCCTTATAGGAGGAAGCTAACTCTTAAAATAAGGTTTTCTGTATAGAACTAAGCTTAAATGTGCATTCCACGAGTATTCATCCCTTTACAACTTGATCACCCCAAAGCCATCACAAAATGGCTGCAAAGATAGATATAGCTAATCTGCCCTTTAATTTGCACTGTCACACCAGTTTACAACATTTCTTTCAGTATTTGCTCAGATGTGTCAGGCTAACAGAATATAATGACTCTCCCATAAGAGTAATGCACTCAGTGTAAGGCACTCAGGTTCGTGGAGTTAATTCTGAAGCTCATCCCTGTGACAGAGAGGGCTCTGGCCCAAAAAGGGAGCTATACAATAGAGTTACTCTGTACAACCAATGTAAGTGGGAGTAGAGTCATAGCTTTAATGTTTATGCCCCATGGTCATCACATTCAGAAAGAATGAATATTTCCTTTTTTCAGTCAAGTCCCCATACAAACCCCTTACAGCCAGACCACCAGGACTAACAGGTCTTTGAACCAAAGTGAACTTTAGGTCTGAGTTAAGTCACTAGCAGCACTGATGGTTTAATGGGGGGAGAATCTGAGCCCATGGCAATCAAGGCTCCAAACCCTGACTTCCTCTGAATTTGCCTAGTTCTTACTAGGTGCCACCTGCATTATTTGCTGCAAAGAGTTCTCCTGGGTATACATGCATCTAAGGGAGAGTTACCTACTGCTGCCACTGCGTACTGGATGAGGTTCCTGCGTTGCAGTGGAGAGCAAAGATGCCAGGTGCCAGATTTAGGTTGAAACTGAAACAATTCTTGCTGCTCCTTGTCATGCTTCCCTCCCAGAACATATAGGGTCTCATAGCTCCTGCTGGTGCACGAAGACAGCTCCATGTTCCTCCAGCTGAGTGGAGGGCTGTCTAACTTCTTTAGCAGCCTGGCAGAAGTATCCTTCTCTCCAGGGCGTTTGCTTTGTTTCACCAAGATATCGAGGAAAGAAAGACTCAGGAAGGTTACTCTGACCTGCCCCACCAAGTCCAAGAAGGCCTCCTCCCTAGATGCTGGGTCCTGCATAACCCATTTCATCACAGTATCAAAAACCACATCCTCTCGGGGAACAAAAAGGTCATCATTTTGCAGGAGCTGGAGCAACATTTCTTTGGGAAGTGTCTCAAATTCTTCCTGAGAAGTCACTTCCGTCCAGTGCGTGAGAGCCACACTGAGAGCTGATGCATGAAGCTCTGGACAGGCGAAGCATTGGGCATAGGCCATCAGGCTCAGACAATTGGAAACGTGCAGTTCCCTCTCCAGGAACTTCTCGCACATCCTTTTCACTCTCTCAAACTGGAGGAAGTCAGCTGTTTCCAGCAGGCGAGTGACATTGTGCAGAGTTATGAGCACCTTCGCTGTGTGAGTGAACTCGAGAAGCACTTGGAAAGTCTCTGCATCTACTCCTCTGATCACTATGTGGTGTTCGGCGCTCTCTCTAGTGCCCCCAAAAAACATGGCCTCAAAATAGCGACTGTGGAGAGATAGTGCACCACGGTTGACCTGGAAAAGTCTCTGTCCAATCTCAAGAGTGGTGTCAGGAACTGGTTCTGCCTGAAGTCTCAGCCCTTCTGGTTCCTGCGCACAGTCCATGTTGGTTGTCAGCTGGAGGAGTTAATTTTAACTCAGCCCTTCAGCACCCTTTGCTCATGTGAGGCATCTGGAACTGTGACTTCGATAAATATGGGATATGCCAGCCTTGTCCTAAAAATAGACCATGCTTCCTACACTCCTGTCTGGCTCCACTGTCTTTCCCACTCTCATTAAACTTACTCTGCCACCACTTCGCTCCCCTCAGACCCCTCAGCAGTTGCAGCAGTAAGGCTGTAAATCAATACTGAGGTTTTGTGGCTAGTTTATAAACCTAAAGAGCAAGGGGTAACAAGCCCCATTAGAGGGGCTGATTGATTTCAGAAGCCTAATGGTGAGTGAGTGGGAAAAAACCCTGCACACCCTAGAGAAATTCCATAATTTAATAAGAAATAAATACTTGGCAGTTACAGCAGTTTTCATTCAAGGTTTTACAAAATCCGGTTAACTAACCCTAACCAGTCCCTGTGGGTGGACAGGCAGCTGATCTCAACTCCCAAGGAAACTGACTCACAGATAGGTGAGGTGATTTTGTCCTGCCCCCACAGGGTAAATCTTAGATTTGGCAAGAGCCCAGAACTCCCGGCCCCTGTACTCACCAAAATGAGATTAAATGGTTTGACTAAGCTACAGACGAGGAATTGTGTGTTTTTAAACCATCAGATCTCTCTGCAGTTCTGGGAAGCGGAGGAAGTTCAGAATGATGTGGGCTTCACGAAGTAAAACCAAAAGGAGCCAGCCAGTGTTCTCAACTGCAGAAGGTCTGTTGTAAAAAAAACAAGAACTCCCAGGTCTTTCTCTAAATGAAGAAGTTCAATCTGCAACTTAATACTGGATAAAACACAAGCAAACAACTAAACTGAGGCACAAATCTAGGTGCCCTGGAATGGATCCAGATCCTGCCAGCACCACTCTACTTCTCACAGAGAACAGTGTGAATGTGCCCTCCCTCCCTGTTCCCAATTAGCTAGGCCTTCACAGATGGGGGTATTTCTGCACAGTAAATGGGGCTCAGAAAGCCAACTACAGTTGAAAGTCCCCCTCTGTTCCACCAGCTAAGGAGAAACTGTCTCCTAGCACGAGGTTCACAATAATATTTCTTTAGCAGTTAAGAGCCCTTTTCTGAGGACCTTGGTCCAGAAAGGTACTAGAGTCTCAACTATCTCCTACTCTGAACCTCACTCTAATCAATCTGACATGATGGATTTAAATGATCCTATTGGGATCCAGGAAGTGGGCAGGATCCACAGGACCTGGAAGCCAAGTGATTTCAGGGGACAACTAATAAAATAAGAACCTGAGTGCGGTCAAAGATTTAAATGATGCTGGGTGCTCTGATGTAACTCTACCTCCAGATTTGTTACCAATCCTTGACATTGAGCTCTGCAGGTGCACTGCAGAACTCATACCAGGCTGCTACAGCTTGGAGAGATTGGGCTTCTGCCCTTTAGCATTGACACTATCCCTTTCTACCAACCCAACCCCTCATTAATAACACATGGGCTGCTCCAGAGAGCAGTTGTAATTTGCCAGTCAGTCAATGTAAAGTGCACAAGCTCCCAGCTGATATGGTCAGATTCTAAGATATGTGACCTGAGGTAGATTTGGCTGTTGCCAGTAGCACTGGCAAAGGCAATGTTATTCTCTAGAAGTGCTCTGGGTCATCATATTAATGGTCTATTAGTAGGTTATACTATCCATCCATCTAAATACTTATACCATGGTGATGAGCCATAATATACGAGAGCCTTTTGAAAGAACAAGAACCAGGTAGTTCTCCACATACTGATCCAACTCTCTTCATCTATCCATGTCAAGGAATAGGCTGGGATAATTGTTATAACTGATTTTAAAACAATTTCTGTCCCGTGGGAAATTCCAATATTTCATCATGTTTTCATCCTCAATTGGGACAAAAAGTCAAACTATCAAAACTTTTCTTCTAAAAGTTCAGAAAAAATTTGATTTGGCAATATCTGATTATTAAGAGTTAATATTAACCAGTGCCTGCTTGAGTTGCCCTGGTGCTTCCTAGGAGCGTGTAGTTCATTTGCCCCATGGTCCCATTCTTCTTTATGAGCCAAGGTCCCCTGCTAGACTAACTCTCCCATGATGCAACATGATACACTGCAGCAGTTTAGACAGATATAGATTAACACTGAATCCTCCTGAAACTACGTTTTAATTTTCCATTAGGAAAATGGATAGTTGTAAGCAAAATTGACATTTTCCATGGAAAATGTTGATTTTCCAGAAACCACATTTTCCATCATTAAATGGAGCCAAGTCATGGAGAAGCAGTGATTCTTATTCTTTCGCTCAGTCCCACAAATGTAGAATGAAGATGGGGCAGAGGAGATGGGGGAAGTCTTATTTCTGGGAGTTTTCTCAGCAACCATGGGAGCCATCCTTCCTCACCAACTTCCATCTCCAAATGGAGTGGTGGCCGCACATCAGAATCCATATCTACATCTGACTTGGTCTTTCACCTTCCCCTCCACCCTCTCTGCTTGCAAACATCTCTATGCCTTCTTCACCACTGCCATATATGATTGGCATGCTCTTCCAAGATCTATGCAAAGATATGGCAGAGTTAAGGTTCTGGTGCACAGTCAGCAGGGGAGGCGCCTGGTTGTTAGAGAAGGCAGACATGCACTGTTAAATAGCTTAACTTTTCATTTCCTTGCTTTGGTAGCTTTGCAGCAGGTATGTTTCCAAAGTTGTGTGAATTAGTCTACGTAAGTCTGTAGGACAGAACCAGTTTTGTAGATTTTCTGCAGAAGCCCTAGTACATTTGTGAGTTCTATAACATAGCATGTTATACAGGTAAAATTCCTGTCAATTACTGAAAAGTACCACAATTACAGAAAAGAAGAACTTAAAAAAAATAGATGGCACAGCTTTGATCAAGAACTAGCAAAAGCTTATAAAAACTAAAATCCAACACCTCTTCTCCCTGAAGTTTTACTTATATAAACATACTATTGAATTAATCTGCAACTTCACATATGTATTCAGAGACTGTCAACACTCTAGTGACAAAAAGGGAGATTTAGAAGCCCCCACTCTTCAAAATACAGAGTCCATGCAGCTAAAAAAGAGTAATTCTATTTCAACTCCTACCTTAGCAAGACTACATAACCAAGTTCCAATTAAAGAACAAAGTTGACCTTCAAAGCCATGCAAAATCATGTTCAATGGAGCACCCAGACCAAGTTGTGCTTTCACGTATATGGACAGCATTGTTCTTATTGATGTTGCATGAGTCAGAAAGAACTCTAGCTGACTTTTATATGTTATGTTGAGTTTACAAGACTGGCTTTCCAGATTAAAATTGACAGATAGGCACAAGAGCAACAAACTAGTCTCTTAAGAGCTTTTATTTATTCACAATTGTGCTGAAGTTTTCCCATGTATCATGTATAAAGTTTAGAAATGCATAGTTACAAGTCAACAAGAAGAAGAAATCACAAGTGGAAGTATGAATATGTATGCAAGGTGCAAAGTAATCTAGTACTACTAGACTGCCTGCAGTAGAAAATTAAATTTTAAAATAAGCATACAGGACAAAACCAATGTTCCTTCCCCATGGTCCTATCTGCTATATAGAAGAAAACAGGTAAGTTCAGTAGGTTTTAGGTCACTCAGCCAAGCCTGAAATTTTCTGGGGCCACTCAACACAGATGTCTCTAGGGAAGACTGACTTTACAAATTCCACCAAAGGCAAGGTTTGGAACAAGAGCCAGAAATTGATAAGATTCCCTCCTTAGCTCTGGTGTTTATAAAGAATGGTAACAAGTCAGTAAATACTCAAATTCATTTCCCTATAAGTATCCGAGTGGGCAGGCAGATAAGAAATCACTAGTACAGAGCCTAAGATGCTCTGTGGAATGGTCCCTGCCTGTAAATTCTGCTGCATAGAGGAAAGAAAAGAGAATTGGAAAAAACAGACCTGAAGAAGAGCTCTGCGTAAGCTTGTCTCTCACTAACAGACATTGGTCCAGTAAAAGATACTACCTCACCCACTTTGTCTCCCTACTATGAAAACTTGGTTTTGGGGGTATTTAGTTAGTCTTTTAGATCCAATCTTCATGCATGCCTGCTGGCTACCACTACTCTTAGTTCCAAGCAGTCATTTTAAACCCAGAATAGAGAAAGGGATGTCTGTACCATTTAAGACTTCAATTTGAACACTGACAAGAGCAGTAATGAAGTTTTTCTTTATTGAACAAAATTAGATCCGATTTTGCAGTCGTCATTCTGTGTTCCTGCTATCACTGGTGGCAAATGACAAAGTAAAAAGGTCAAGGTCCTTCTGCCCCTTATAAAATGAACATTAAAAAAAACAAACAAACAAACAATCTATTCCCCAAAATGGGAAGGTTTCTCATACGCTGTTCATTATCTCCAATGATTTGCAACCTTGAGGTTTCAGTGAGTCCCAAGAAAACGTTAGCCCTCCTGCTGCTGAATGAAAGGGTTTGGAATAGCTTCCATTCCATCTTGTGGACAAATAAGAACCACAGATGTTCCTCTGCAAACCACCAGTCCCAGCTGACGGGTATCCTCTGTTAATTTGTATTGGTCATCTGGATCTGAAAGTAAACCACCCAGGAGGGCTTAGGGTTACAATGACAGCATAAAGAAAAGAAACAGAATTCAACCAGCTTCAAAGACGTACACAGCTCCCTCCACCCCCATCCCCAGGTTTTTCTGAATTATTTTATAGAGATTAAATTTCCTCTATCATTCTTCATAGAATCATAGGACTAGAAGGGACCTGGAGAGGTCATCTACTTCAGTCCCCTGCACTAATGGTAGGGCTAAGTATTAGTCTTATAACTTTTGATTCCTATTAGTACCTCTTAACACTCACTTTGTTAGTCTTCTTTTCTTTCTATATTAAACTCATTTGCACATTAACTATTCTCCTCAAATCTGTACCATATTAGCAAGAGTGTGTCTAAGTTCTAAGGCCCAGCATGTTGGTTCTTAACCTGTGAATGACTGGTACTCAGGAATTTCAGGTGATTGAGGGCTGGGCTGTATCTAATTATCCTCAGGATCTCCGAGCCTGTGGGAATCCAAGTATCCACAGAAAATAAAAAAATGTATAAGTAGGGGCATAGCGAGCAGATCGAGGGACGTGATCGTTCCCCTCTATTCGACATTGGTGAGGCCTCATCTGGAGTACTGTGTCCAGTTTTGGGCCCCACACTTCAAGAAGGATGTGGATAAATTGGAGAGAGTCCAGAGAAGGGCAACAAAAATGATTAGGGGTCTGGAACACATGAGTTATGAGGAGAGGCTGAGGGAGCTGGGATTGTTTAGCCTGCAGAAGAGAAGAATGAGGGGGGATTTGATAGCTGCTTTCAACTACCTGAAAGGGGGTTCCAAAGAGGATGGCTCTAGACTGTTCTCAATGGTAGCAGATGACAGAACGAGGAGTAATGGTCTCAAGTTGCAGTGGGGGAGGTTTAGATTGGATATTAGGAAAAACTTTGTCACTAAGAGGGTGGTGAAACACTGGAATGCGTTACCTAGGGAGGTGGTAGAATCTCCTTCCTTAGAGGTTTTTAAGGTCAGGCTTGACAAAGCCCTGGCTGGGATGATTTAACTGGGAATTGGTCCTGCTTCGAGCAGGGGGTTGGACTAGATGACCTTCTGGGGTCCCTTCCAACCCTGATATTCTATGATTCTATGTCTAGAGAGGTATGTTATAAAAAACTGGGTGATCCATAAGGAATATTTGTTATGGCACATGGGTTCTATAATGGAGGAAAGAATGACTACTGAAAAAGATTTTAACTCATTCAGAACTGGCAATTGCCATAGCTGTTAGTAACAGTGACAAGACTAGAGATTCGTTTTTACTCAGTCAGGTAAGCTGAGGACTACAAAAGACAGGTTTCAGAGTAACAGCCGTGTTAGTCTGTATTCGCAAAAAGGAGTACTTGTGGCAAATTAAAGACTAACCAATTTATTTGAGCATAAGCTTTCGTGAGCTACAGCTCACTTCATCAGATGCATACTGTACATCTTTTTATACACACAAAGCATGAAAAAATACCTCCCCCCACCCCACTCTCCTGCTGGTAATAGCTTATCTAAAGTGATTACTCTCCTTACAATGTGTATGATAATCAAGGTGGGCCATTTCCAGCACAAATCCAGGGTTTAACAAAAACGTCGGGGGGGGGGGGGGTGTGGGAGGAAAAAACAAGGGGAAATAGGCTTGAATAGAGACTGGGAGTGGCTAAGTCATTATGCAAGGTAACCTAAGTTAATTGTATCCAATTTGCAAATGAATTCCAATTCAACAGTTTCTTGCTGGGGTCTGGATTTGAAGTTTTTTTGTTGTAATATCGCAACTTTCATGTCTGTAATCGCGTGACCAGAGAGATTAAAGTGTCCTCCGACTGGTTTATGAATGTTATAATTCTTGACATCTGATTTGTGTCCATTTATTCTTTTACATGGAGACTGTCCAGTTTGACCAATGTACATGGCAGAGGGGCATTGCTGGCACATGATGGCATATATCACATTGGTGGATGTGCAGGTGAACGAGCCTCTGATAGTGTGGCTGATGTTATTAGGCCCTGTGATGGTGTCCCCTGAATAGGTATGTGGGCACAGTTGGCAACGGGCTTTGTTGCAAGGATAGGTTCCTGGGTTAGTGGTTCTGTTCTGTGGTATGTGGCTGCTGGTGAGTATTTGCTTCCGGTTGGGGGGCTGTCTGTAGGCAAGGACTGGCCTGTCTCCCAAGATTTGTGAGAGTGTTGGGTCATCCTTCAGGATAGGTTGTAGATCCTTAATAATGCATTGGAGGGGTTTTAGTTGGGGGCTGAAGGTGACAGCTAGTGGCGTTCTGTTATTTTCTTTGTTAGGCCTGTCCTGTAGTAGGTGACTTGTGGGAACTCTTCTGGCTCTATCAATCTGTTTCTTCACTTCCGCAAGTGGGTATTGTAGTTGTAGGGATGCTTGATAGAGATCTTGTAGGTGTTTGTCTCTGTCTGAGGGGTTGGAGCAAATGCGGTTGTATCGCAGA